GTGATGCCAGACCTCTTTTCCCAGGAGAAGCACCACACCTGGATGAGAGTGCAGCCGGCAGTGATCTGGAAGCTGAGCAGGAAACGATCATACAGGTCTGTTGTGTCATTCTAAAGCCCCACTTCGTGCCGGAGCTTGTTCGTGTCGTCGTTGCTGTCCCCGCAACGGAGATAGAGTTGGAGTATGCTGTGCAAGCGGCCAGACAGCCGAATTACCGCGGACGGTTTCCATTTCTGTTAGCGGTTCTCCCTCAACCAATTCCGGGACATGCAGTCTACCTTGCAAAGCCTGCCTGGATCCTGGATCCCGGCTGCTGTTTCAACCTTCTTGCTATGGAAGGACGCATCTTCTGCAAGACAACAGCGGAGTATCGGACGCGTGACCAGCTGCTTTTGGATGCTGGACTTCCAGAGGACATCCACCAAGAGGTAGAGGTCTTTGTAGGCTTCGATGAGGTTCCTATTTCTGAAGGCGCCTGGACACACCTATTCCCAGGTTCTCAGGTTGCCATTCTACCTACAGGCCTCGGCCCTCCACCGGATCGCCCACTTGGCCAACAGCTACTTGACAGAGCTCTGTGGAGCGAGAACTTCTGCAATTCTGTTCTGCAAGAGGCCACAGCCTATTGTGTGGTCCGCGATGCTGCCTCTCACCTTTACCTGCCCGCACAACACAGCCCCATCCAATACCGAAACCGCCTCGCACACACAGTCGGCGTTGACCCCGGCACCATGCGCATACAGGCTGCTCAGCCACAGTTGAGAGATGCTGATATCGAGGGTCATGCCTGTCGCTCGGTGCTTGCAGTGGCGCTCGGATCAGAGGAGGACCATTTGGGCCCCTGGCACAGCTGCCTTATTGTTGACTGTCGCTCAATCGGCGGCTCCTGGTGTGCTCTTGTATCCCGCAACGGCTATTTGCCGCTTGGAGAGCTTGACTGGGCGGTAGGAGTAGGGCCCCCCCTAGGCTGGGATCTCCACGTTGATGCCGAGGTTATCGACGGGCAACTCCAAACTAGGCCAGGACAAGTTTTTGTGGTGGAGTTCGTGCGATCTGCCGATGCCTCACAGCCTTCCATGCCTGCGGTTCCAGCTAGTACTATGACAGACGATGTTTCCCAGGACTCCGCAGTGAACGCTTATGAAGACCAGGCTGCGTCAAGTGACCCAATCAGGGGTGAAGTGGCCGCTCACCCCAGCTTTGGGGCGCCCAGAGACACACAGGAGGACTGGATCCCATTCCAAATTTTTGCTCAGGAATACTGGCCGGAAGCAGTCAGTGTCAGGTTGCGACTGCCCATGAGTCCGGGCGACGCCTGTGCCGCAGTAGCGCAAGCAAGGGAAGCTCAGGCCCAGAGACGTAGCCCGAGGCTAGTCGCCGTCTCTCCACAGCCATTGGCTTCACAGGCGTGCCTTCTCGCTCTTCCTCTATGGCCATATGAAGGCGTTGCAGTTCTGATAGCATGTTGGCGTGCGCCCAGGCGTATCTTTGCTGCGATTGTTCCTCACAGGCTTAGATGCGACGACCTCCTGAGGCTGGCAGAGATCCCCGAGACAGAACACTGCCAGATCTATGTGCATGACGTACCTTGGCCTGTGCAGCCAGACTCTGTCATAGTCCCCAATGAGGGCGATCTCGTCATCATCCGCAATGTGGGAGATGAACATGAATACCTCCCGGAGCTAGCCAGTATGCTCCAGCCGGGCCATACTTGGGACACAGAGCTCCAGCTCCCTGGAGCCGACCCAGGCATAGTATGGGTTCTGACAGACGGGGTGAATACCGCCGTGCCGATCCAGAGGGACAGTTTCGCGCGGGATAATGCTGCTGTTTCATCTGCCCTGGGTCTTGTGACCGGCCAGTTTCTTCTGGTTCCAACCATTCCGGGAATAGAGGACCATGCCAGAGCTGGCACCCGATCCGAGAACGTCCAAATTGCTTGCCAGACGGCACACTTCAGCAGTGACAGCATAGGACGCTGGATACCTTACCTCCTTGACCTTAGGCCCCTACTCTTGCCCATTTCGTGGGCGTACGCATGTTGGGCATGGGTAGATGTTTCTGCAGTGGGGGCACGACTCGCGGTGCGTTGCCCACCGGGTTT